CACCCCATTTAATGTCTCAAGATGAGTGGCACAAATCACGTTTTGAGGCTTTTTGAAGTCTTCTTCTCCAGCACAGTGTGTCATTATCAACTGATTATAAAGGAAGCTTCAATACTAGAGCATGAATGAAGGAAGAAATAGAAGTGAGCAAAAACTGACATTGTTGGATTCAATGTTGTCCTTGTAATGACACCAAGACCCTATTACATATTAATATCAATCATAAAGCAGAAAGAGAATTGTTGATCATTAAAATTAAAATTATTAATTAGGTTTTAATTAAATTTAAATAATTAATGATAAATTTCCTGCATATTCCACTCTCGTAATCGTTCGCGCGAAGCACTTTGATTTGAAGTATAAAGACACATGATAGGCTCTGGTAACTGCTCGCACTCTCATTCACACCTCTCAGTCTCCTATTTCCTCCCTGTTTGAAACCCCTGTCTCCACACACTATTCAACATAGAAGCCGTGAAGACTTCGGAAAAGCCTTCGTCTATCACTATTCCCTTCCCGTTCCACTACTCTCTCTCTCTCTCTCTCTCTCTCTCTCTCCTGACAGAATCATAAGCCCTTCATCGTTTTACTTTTTCATTTCGTTGTTTCGCTTCCTTTGTGTACGCAACGCGACCATTTGCCCATTGAAGCCTGCATGCAAGATTGCCCACATTTAAGGTGTCTATTTAAGCAAATCAATTACATATATTTTCAAAACCATGCATGTAACTACTAATGCAAAATCTGTATTAAATTCATGACTTCAAATTTATACAAGTCTTTAAAGCTTATAAACTTTTAAGATATTTACATATATGAAATTATAAGCTTGTGTGTACTTCAACTAATGTATTGAATGATTAAATACTATGTTCAAGAATGTTGCGAGGGCTAATTGGGTTCTTTGTCTATAGGATAGGGTTATAAGTCCCACCCGACTAGTTCGACCCTCCTTGCAAGAACTGAAGTTGTCGAGTCTAGTAATTTTGAAATAAATGTCAATCATAAAATAAAAATTTACAGGTCCAAATAACATAGTCTGGTCCTCCTCCATATAAGGATTGAAGTCGACGAGACTTATATCCTAAAAAGTCTAACTAACAAATTTAAATGCCGCTTTAAATATAAAATTTTTTAAAATAAACAATTTTTCGATGATGGCCGAGTTGATAGAAGATTTTGACCGGAGGGTCTATTTTAAAATTAGATTTTAAAGTCAATTTTGAATTCAATTATTTCAATCACGGATCCAATTCTTTGTAAGTGAGACAGTCAATAGGGTTTAAAAATAAACTATCCCTGATAATGACCGTGTTGATCAAAGATTTCAATTGGAGAGATTAGTTTTTTCAATTAAGAATTTCAAGGTAACCAACCATAACATCTAAGTTTAAATCAATCACTAAAGACTTAAAGCAAGGCAAGTAATAAATTTTTCATTAACTTCAGCTCACAATAGTGAATATCATATCAAATGTATCTATATATATTCATAATCAATGAAATTACATGTCAGTAAAGACATGGCTCGAGTCCTCTGTTGACGTGATTTGCATCCAAATGACATTACAAAGTAGTGGTTACGACCAAAACTCTCGAATCGGATGGTCGACGAGGTTTAAGGAAAAATTTCCCCGATAATGGTCGTACCAAAAGGGTGAATCTTTTAAATCAAAATTTTTAAAGTAATCAACCGCATGATTTTGTCGGCAACTAACACCACAAAGTAGCAGTTACGATCAAAGCATTCTGACCGTATGTTTGCCACCAAATATCACTATTATATTATGGTCACGACCGCAACCCGTATATTCCCAACAACTTTCTACAGTTTGAGTTGTGAACCATAAGAGTACAATTAATTAACATAAAATCTTCTGTGAGCTAAGGTCGACTTGAATTGGTCCCTTTAGACAAACATCAACCACAAATCTACAAAGATCTCTAGGATGATACAATCCGTGAAAGATATCAAAAATCTTTCAGTCAGGTTGGGTCAACTGTCTCTTATAAGCAGATCAGGGGCCACGACGACTCGAAATGATAGAACCATGAGATATTGATCGAGTTTCTTCTTCATTTCCCTCACCCTCTATTTTAAGCTTCAAGTGATAGATTTTACAACTTAAATCCTAAGTCTGTTGCAATTGTACGTTGAATAATCAATTCTCAATTACTAACCTTAATCAAAAGTTCTCTCCCGCTATTGAGAGAGGTGATTAACCATAGAGACCCCATAACAAAAAATTCTCGCTAAATGAGGGTGAAATCTTTAGGCAGTGCTTATTTACAATCTAACCCGCCTTCTGAAAATTTAACATTCTAAAGTTCTCTCAACAAATGAAAATAATAAATGCAAAGAGCCCCATGAAGCAGTCAAAAATTTCATAGCCCACAGGAAAGTAAGACTTGTGTTCATAAATTCTCTTTATAGAAATCAGTTTAAAGTGGTCCCACTTGATCCCATAGAAACAATGAGAGGGAAGGAGCAAGTGAGGAACGGAGGGAGGGAGAGAGCGGATAGACATAATGAAAAAAAGAATATTGGATAAAAATTGAGTGGAAATTTTGGAGTTATGACATTCAATTTGAGGACATTTAGAGACATGTTGAAGGTTTTGGATTTAGGTTTAAATTGGGCTCAAAGTATGGGTCAATTGGGCTTGGGTTTGATTTGAATCAAGTTTGGTCCTGATGAATTTGAGTTTAGAATTGAAATTTGGGAAAGTTTGGATGAAATTGAGGAACATTTGGGGTGGATTTGGAGAATTTGAGCCTTTAGGGGCAATTTTGGGGGTTTTGGTCAAAATTGTCAAATTGGGTTTAATTGAAGGGTCCAAATTGGTTTTGGAGTCATTTGAAATGATTTTGAGGGTTTTAGAAAAATTTGAGCTACCAAGGGTATTTTTGTAATTTTGGCAAATTTGGGGGTATTTTGGTAATTTGGAAATTTGGGTAGTTTGAAATGATTTTTGAACAAATTTGGGTATTTTGAGTGAAATTGGGAATTTTAGTCAAATTTGGGGTTTTGGGGGTGTTTTGGTAAATTAGGTAGATTTGGGGGAGAAAAAGGCCAAGTTGGATATTTTGGTGAAATTGAGGTGTTAACCACCCTATTTGAATGCCAACCACCCCATTTGAACTATGGTCCAATGGAATCTCCATTTAGGTCCTCTATGTACTGACCTTGGCTAGACCCATGCCTAAGACTAGTGGGTCTAGGAGACCATTTACATGAGTGTTCCAAAAGATCAAGGGATCAAAGTTAACAAGTTGGGTTTAGGGTTGTGAGTGAGTGAGTGAAAGTGAGTGCAAGTGAGTGAACTAGCTCCAGACCAACATCCAGGGTCAATACTAAAGTCAAGCAATCCTATGGGGACTCTCCTTGAGCTCCCCTATAGTAGCCCTACCTACTAAGTTCTAGAGGTTAGGACTAGTATATGGAACTTCAAGTTGAGCACAAAAGAGTTTAGAATTTCTAATGGTGAGGGTTCCTTTTCTAGTTTTTTAGGAATAGTCAATAGGAAAGTCCTATGGCTCGACCCTAGGCTACTTAAGAGGAAAAACTAAACCTCAACCAAAAGTGAGGGCAACATAAGTCTGGATACCATCAAATCAGAATGAATCCATTATATGTGCACAAGACAACTTTCATGACATATGAAAGACATTATGAGTTCTTAGTGATGTCTTCTGACCTAACCAACTCCTCGCCAACATTTC